AGTGCTCGTAAAAACCTACTCGCTTTGTTTAGTATTTCATAAAAGAAGGATAGCATTGGTTTTAGATTATTAACTCGTCGAGTACCGGTTTTGCAGACACAATTATAGAACAATAGGTTGCGGTCACCGGTGACCGCTTGGTATTTGACAGTTTAAATATAGATTAACACTAAAATTTGGTCTTTCGGTACAAAAGTTCGGGTCAATTTCTTTATACTTTTAGATTTTTAACTCGTCGAGTACCGGTTTTGCAGACACAATTATAGAACAATAGGTTGCGGTCACCGGTGACCGCTTGGTATTTGACAGTTTAAATATACAGAACATTCTTATGTATTCAATCCACATAAATAACACTAAGAACAAATAAAAGCATCGCCTTACCAGTCACGACATAATCCGCAGTTCCAGTTCTAGACATCAAGTTAAGTGGAACCGCTGCAAATTCACCAGTACCACCCCCAGCCATGAATAAAATTTTGTAATTTGCTGGCACATCTCTGAAATAATGATAAAATAAATATATGTTTTTTATCAACCGTTTATTTTGATTCGGCTCCAGATCAGCAACGAAAATGTCAAGCGATACAGTCAAAGTCAAAATGAAAAATAGACAAGTTGTCAAACTCAAAATGTACAATGTAGGTACATCCCTTTCTTTCATTCATTCGTTTATCAACCCTCTACCGACAGGATAACGGAAATAGTTTTTGTGTAGAAATTAAAATCTTTTTTCTCGTCTGTTCCTGGAACAGACGACGCGAGGAACAGTGTTCCAGACTTCCAGGTAAAATAAACAGCATAATTATTCCAATACCATAGAAGTCCAAACAACCTCTTATCTTATCGGGGGCTAAAAAAAAAGTATGTATCGAAAATGATTATTTACATTACTAATTTGTCTTAACTAAGTTTCATATGTATAAGTTTTAATTTTTATGTTCCGTAATAAAGCAGTTGATGAGGCACAAAACAATAATGAACTCTTTAAACAAATTCGATGACCTCCAAAGTCCTCAATTACAAATATTTAAATAATGATGAGCTATAGTGACAACACTGTCCATAATATACCAGTAATTATAAACATATTATTGTTTCTAATCTATTTCTTATTTTAAAACTGCAAATTAAAAGTAATGTATTTTTTTTATTTTTGAGTGACAAGCTTTATAATTATTAATTTGAATGCATGTCATAATTTATGTGCAAAGTGATCCGATTTCTTTAATTTAAAATAATTGTTTATGATGAATATGTGGCGTAATTAATTACCAATAAATACCTTAGTTATTATGTTTCCAGCTCGTGTATTAACCGAGTTGAATACACATGTACTTATTGTAAATTTATTCATAGAATTCATAAGGCTACGACGCTGAATACTTACAATAATCTTCTGACAACATTTTGAACTTCTGTATTAAACTGCATGTATGCTTTAGTCCTGTGACTTGTCTCAAGTAAACTTATGCCCGATCCATCAAAGTTTGTAAGTTCATTCCTCATAATTTCATATACCTGACAAAATAATTAATAAACATATAAAAATAAAGAAACGCTGGATGATTATAGTAATGTGATAATATAAAAAAATGTGCTTACCTCCTCTGGCATTTTAGCCGGCCCGGCACCAAAATTGTAAATTTTCGGCATTTTTTATTGAAATAAAGTAATTTAATACACGAGTAACTTTAATTATTTATCACACGACACTGTATCACAGTCACAGGGCTCGCGCAATGCGTCTGCTCAGACTGAATAGTTGGGTTATCGCCCTGCCTTTATTATGTCGACGACGCACGACCGGTTTGCTGATCACATGAACTATGTTCATTCGTGTGCAAAACATTGAGATCGTTTACAAATTTTAATTGAAATTGCACTCAGTTTTGCGCGATCTTTTTTGCGTTTTTTTTTTTTTATTTTATCACAACGCCCCATGTTTTATTATCAACAGAAATAGACTAAAGATATATACTTAGGCATATTTTTCTCGAAGAAAACAACGAATGATTCTTAAAATACCTGGTTATTTTATTCAGTTTTGTCATTGGAGTGACCGGATCGACCGTTCATGTTCAGTGCAATATAAAAACATCTACCGTCAGTTAATATAATGACTATCCTTCAACGACTTCTCTTCGCCAATCAACACATCGTCTTCGGCTAGTTGAATTGATCCAAGGTCAGATGTACTATTACGTTAGTAGGCATATGTAGGTATAGGTATCGACCTACTACCCAAGAGTAACCAATCATTTATTTTGTTCTTATGTACCAGATTTTCAAGTAGGTACTTAATAGAGTTAATATTAGGCATTAAAAAAGTAAACGTTTCAGAAGTGTATTTAGTTTTTAGACAATATATGCCACTTGTGAGTAATATTATTCACAACATAATTTCAGTAAGTCTATGCATCCAGAAAGATACTATTGTGGTTTTTTTTATAAAATTTGATTTAAAATGACAATCAGAAATCTTTATAGGAACGTAGATTTATAATATAACTAAAGCAATTGTAGTATACCACCACCAAGCTATCACCGTGGTATCTGGAATACATCTGCAAGCGAATAACCAATCTAAAGGTTATTTTCCACAAGATCCACGTTTGAAACGTAGCTTGAGGATCGCATTTTGCTGGTAGAGTCCCAAATTGGGTTTTTTTTTGTAATTTGTACAACAAATAGCATTATTGACCTGATTCATATCATATGAGCGAAAGCACAAAACAGATGCCTATTAAATAATGGAGTAAAAGGGAAATAACTCGACCTGACCCCCAAGTATTACTTAATTAAAAGGTTATCGATATGAACCATTTACACACGAACTAACGTCTGACTTGTAAGAAAAATAATTGGCCTCAATATTACGTATCTGGAATAAACTTGAAACATTGATGAAATATTTCACTGTACGTTTACTGTAGTATTGTAGATAAAGAGTAAATCGTGTGAATACCTACAATAATATATTTGACGGATTTTTTTTAAGGTGGGAAAATCATCGAATGACTGCTCCCGTCGGGTGAGACGGGAGGGAGTGTCAGACTCTTAATGACTAAAAACCACTCCGTTACTTCTCCTGCACGTCGAGCCGAAGCCCTGGTAACCCGTTAGGTTCTCCGCGACTCCGAATCGGCGTCGGCCCTTTAAGCCCCATCTGTGGTGGTCTGATGGCTCTTTGAGGCGCGCGCGGAAGTCGACGCGCCGTACGCTCGGGTCTGTTTTTGGTCGGACGGGGAGTCAGCTATGCTCGCCGTCCGACCGGACCGGACCGCGCTTACGGTGGCCGGAGATCGTCCCGCGATCCCCGACGCCCGGTGTGTCCTTCGCGATGGCTAGGTTGCGAGGAGGCAACGCCGCAACGCTTCGCTGCCTCACGCGTCCTGCCTCCCCCTTAGCTAGCATAACTGCTTCGCAAAAGGAAGAGACGGCATCCCAGTCCCCCTCGCTCCGCATCATGGCCTGCACTAGGCCCGGACGCGAGAGGTCGCCATCGCCGATCACTTCCCTGAGGGCACGGCGGTGCTCAGCCCATGCAGGGCGTTCCCCCACTGTGTGTTCCACCGTGTCCTCAGGGCGGTCCTCGCAGTGATGACACCCGGGCGTTTCCTCTCGCCCCATCAGACACAGGTACCTCCCGAAACTTCCATGTCCGGTGAGGACCTGCGTCTGGCCGTAGGTGAGGACGCCGTAGCGTCTCTCAAGCCACTCCTCAAAGAGGGGACATATTTAACGGATAGCGTTAAATTTTGGAGCTAAGTAGCTGTATGGCTTTATATAGGTGTCTTATTATGAATAATAATATTATATATGAATCATCAAAAAAAACCTAACCCTGATAAAATGATTATAACAACGTAAAAGATTGTTTGTGAGTTTGAAATAATTATTTTGTAGACTACTTTTAAAACGACCGACTTCAACCCCGCTCTTTTTTTGAAGTCAGTTAATTAATATACTAAGATCTAATTTTTTAATGCTCAAATAAATTTTTCAAAGAATAACTTTCAGTATTTGACAATTCTTTCATTCTAAAATCTGTCAATTTTATTCTACAGTTAAGAATTAGTGATGATTGTCAAATGCCCTAAGTGTTTGGGAGAGCTATGCTTCGGCACGAATGAGCCGGCTCGACCGGAGTGATTTAACCGACATGAAATAAAATAATGCTTGCGTTTTGTTTCGTCCTGGAGGCCCAATTATGCCCTCCCCTCTCCCCAATCTTGGCCAAAAGGCCAGTAACTCACATGTAACACATCAGGTGTTCCAGGTGTTCATGGGTGACGCTGATTGCTTACCATCAGGCGATCGATATGCTCGTTTACCAGCTTATACCATAAATAAACCTTCTGCTAAGTGTAACAAACACTTCTATGAAAACCTCATCAAGATCTGCCAATCGCGATATAATCGTGCAGAAACATACATACATACAAGTCAAACTGAGAACTTCCTTATTTTTTTAAGTTCGTTAAAAAGTAATTTTTAACCTAATACCACTGCTGGTAACTTCTGACCTATGCTACTAATGAATTCAGATGAACGTTGTGGCTTCTGTTCTGATACTGTACTCTACGGTAGACTGTGGATACATAATTACAGAAATACTTTATCATTCATAGGAGTTGGCTCCATTCTCAACTATGTAAGTTCGCGACGCATGTTCGCGCTACTCATAAAGCAAGTTAGTGATTGAGTGATTGATTGTTAACGCCAGTTCATTGAAAGTTCTATCTAAAATTTGAAAGTTCTATCCAAAAGTTCTATCTTTGATGATAAAATGTAAAAGTATTATATTGTTATATTAATATTTGCTTTAGAAATATGAACTTGAGCTTGTTTGTAAATTGGTAGTAAATTTCGTACTTAAATAAAATAAATAACAAAACCGTAAAAATATTTAGTTAAAAAATATCGTACATTTTTAGTTTGGTTGGAAGCTTTAAGAAGACGAAGACCAAACATTTTTTCATTTAAAATCACACTTTATGATCTCAATTTTTAATTAATTAATAAAATAATTTTCATCAATCAATCAATAAATTAAAGCAAACCAAGCAATGGATGTCATAAATATGAGTAGTTCATTCGTTCTTCCTAAACTTGTTACACAAACTATACACGCAAGAGTGACGTCTGTCGTAAAATGAAAGTTATTTAAAAAAATGGCTAATTTCACTGATTATGAATATTTGTAGTTTTAATAATGTAAGTATGTAATCCTCAAAATTAACGATAAATTTACAATTTGTTAAAAATATCTGCACTGGCAACATCGATATTTGATTACATTCGTTCAGTTCATGATTTCGTTCGTTCATTTGACTTCGATTTTCACTTGAAGTTGAAACAGTACGGTAACATCTCTCGTATTTTGTTTTTAATAACGTTAACGTGTTGTATTATCAGTAATCATTAATTAAAAACTGTGCTGTTATTTGTGTAAAGGATATGCCTCCAGTAAAAGATGAGTCTATAAGAGAAACTAATTGTTTAGAAATAATAAACATTGTTGAGAAGAGTCCTGGCAAGAGTACTCTTGTGGATGTAAGAGCGTGCAATAAACCTGCCGCAAAGGTAAAATTACTTTATTATGTTGCTTTAATTAATGTTTTAATGAATAAACTCTAAGGCTAGGTTATCGATTAACAATTATTCGTAGTCTACAGGGAATTCTTTATAACCGCTACTTAATGGTTTTTTCTGTTCGAAATTCAATTTACTTAGTATATTTATAAAAAAAGTGTTTAAAGTCAGATAGTTCATCATGTTTAACGTAATTACCTGCACGACTAGGTACAAAATTGAAACAGTACATCGGAATTATATCAGCATGTTATGTAGTTTTTACAACACTTTCTCATCAACAATTTCTACAGTTTGCCTATAATTTACATTGCAATTTTACACATGCACAAAGATTCTTTGTGAAAAAAAAATACCATGTTTGTAGATCACAATATCTGCACAGATTATATCAGAGACAACCTACTGACCAATAAATGCGGTCTTATCGACTTTTATCATTTGAATTACTACAGACATACAGTAATAATACTGTAAATTATAAATGTTAATATTGTATGCAGATATTCAACAAGTATTTTGCGGGAATGCAAAAACAGATCTAAGCAAGATGAAATTGTTGATTCCTTTGGTCTTGTTTAACAGTAATTAAAGTACTGAATTGATTGATTGATCCTTAAATGGCTATGCAAAAATATCTACAGCCAAAACAACATTTTATATAACAATAGCATATATAATGCCCTAAAAGAATTGCTACAAAATATAAATCAGAAAACCTATTTTATAAGTTTTATGAGACGTAGATAAAGGATGTAATAAAACTAATCTATAATCATATAGATATAAATTAAATATTAAATAACTGGGGCTAAAATAAACAAAAACTAAAGTGCACAACTAAAATTCACTAACATTACAAATATAGAAAAATAGGATAGGGGGAAAAAAGAAAAACTAACTTAAATATTATTGTAACAATTACTTATAATATATATGAAATTATGAACAGAATTCTCATGCTTAGTATAAAATTAAAATTAATATAATAATAACTAGGTGTACCCCAGTTATGTTGATCAGACTTTCGGGTCGGGTAAAGTATTACTGGGTTTTTAAAAATTCTCAGTAGTAACACGCAGTCTGGAATTGTACCCGGTATATGGCAATAGGCTCACTCCCTGTTATATGGGACTCATAACAAAAATAGTGAAAATGTGACATTCAATTCATGAATACATATGAAAGTAAAAATTGTATCATAGAAATCCCATTAACAATGTTAAAAATGAACACCAAACTTTCTAAGTGACTAAAACCAAGTTTGTTAAAAGTTACTTAATAATTTATTGTATTATTTATACAAATCAGTATAGACAGACTTGATACACATTTTCACCATAGCTTTCTTCATAGTTGGATGATTGATCATCAACAATGTGAGTTAGCATTTATTGCATAGCTCATCTGTTGCTATTGCATATTTTATAACAATTTTTAACATCCACATTTCCTGTGTTTTATCTAAGTCTTTATAGAATGTGATTTTAATATTATCACTCTTTTTATCACCAAAGAGGTATCAGTGTTGCCATAATGGCACACAGTGCCAGAATTTACATCCACTATTCAGTTCACACTGCCTCGTCGGCCGAGTGCTCGCAAGTGCGACTGCCGGGCAAGGGGTCTCGGGTTCGATTCCCGGGTCGGGTAAAGTATTACTGGGTTTTTAAAAATTCTCAGTTGTAGCACAGAGTCTGGAACTGTGCCCGGTATATGGCAATAGGCTCACTCCCTATTATATGGGATATATAACAAAAATAGTGAAAAGTGGGTGTTACATTGTACACTGGCACAATGTGCCTACCCCTTCGGGGATAAAAGGCGTGATGTTATGTTATATTATGTTATTCAGTTCAGTTTAGTTTTGTTATGAGTCCCGTGATATAGAGAACGAGCCGTTTGTCATATACCATGTTCAATTTCGGACTCAATAAAAAAACTGACACAATACTACTATTACTGACTTGGGAATCTACCCCTTACTCCACTTTCATGGCAGTCACATTTGCAACCATTTGACTAGTAAGACTGTCATAAAATGTTATAGAACTGGGGTATATTTAATTTTATAACCATTGAACCGGAATTGTAGATATAACAATGCATAAAAATTATTACTTCGGAATTGTATCAAAATTGTTGTAGAATGCTAAACAATATGCTTAGTAATAGAATAGAATTTTTTGTTATTACTAAAATTCTATCCACAATGATGTTTGAAAATTCTAACAAATAGTTGATTCATTTTGTCTTCCATTCAATGCATATAAGACATAGACAGTGTACTGTACTATTAATACAATACTATATTAAATACAGATGCACAATAATAAACAATACAAACTTCAACAATTCAGCTAATCATAACAATTGGTAAAAAATTCTACATTTAATACCTATGTGCTTGTCCTTAGCCCTTATACATTCCATCAAAGACTGAAATATATAACTTTATGTTATAAATAAATAAATAAAACGTTATCAAATCACACTAATATTATAAATGCGAAAGTTAAAGTATAATTATTATTTGTTACTCCTTCACGTTATAACGACTGAAGGGATTGTGATGAAATTTGGAACAGGGGTATAGATAATGGTTTAGAATAACACAGGCTACGTTTTATCGCACGAGACCACGGAAGACGGCAGACAGGAGCTATTGTTTACTAAACAATTTATTTCTTCTCATAGGCTAAGGCTGCCGAAAAGATCTAGTTCTTCATTACAACACAAAATATTACAACGACTCAACAAAGGGAAAACAGTACATTTTATAATAAAGGTTCCATTAAGCACTTATCTATAGTGGTTTCATATCTATCAGATAAAACAGTTTTATGCAAATCCCTTCACAAGGTAACACAACCAACTTTCCCTTGTACAAGTAACTATGATAGAACTTTTGATGTAACAATGACTTTTTTTGTAACAATAGCCTCAAATTAAGGCATCATTCCCATGAGGTAACTAAACATGTGTTTAACTACAGTTTATAATGAAAAAGCCATTAACTTTCGTGTAATTTTGAGCCTCTTTCGTTCTCAGAATAAGTATCTGAATTTATAATAATTAAAATATCAAAATGATAGTTTTATTTAAATGAAAATTACTAATCTAAAAATATTTATTCAAGCTATTTTCAATTTCTGACTGGTAAACCTGTTTCGTAATTTTATATAAGAACTTTTATTTTATGTATCGAAAATTTTAAAATTAGAAATCTAATATTACCCTGCCTAACTGGCAGAATGTACTCCCCAATATTATGAAATTTCGAATATGATATATTGACAAACATCTCCATAGACAACCATGGAATTTTAAAAACAATCGTCCATTCGATTCTTGCGGAATATTGAGGATCATCACTATGACCGCAACCTCGTAATCGCATAATGAAATTATAGGGCCATAAAATAAACAAGAAAAAAAGGTGACATCAATCAATTCAGTTTAGAATCTTGATTAATCATAAGCAATCATGCTTGTAAGGAACTTTTTGTTTAACTCTCAAACAATTCATATGAGCATCATACTCGATACAAGTACACAGTTATTTATGGTAACGCAAGGATGTCCTTAGATACCTGTTTCCTTAAAAATTACGTCATATTTACTTAGATTGTACTATCAAAATAAAATCACACTTGAAACCATGATGTAAGTGTAAGGTAGCTTCTGCTGTGGTTAGTTAGTTCATTGTAGTCATTCTTTTTGTTGCGCCTCGTTGACTATCATGTAACATCCTTATCTTTTGAATGTACCCAGTCGAAAGTGTTACATTATTGCTAAATATTTTGTTTGAGTCATACCCACTGCTTAATTGTATCACTTTAGTACGTTTTGCCAAGCTTACTGACTAACAAATTATCAGTTTAATCGTATAATAACTCTTTTAACATATGTAGTTGATAGGAGTTTGATAGTGAAATGAGGATGAACGGAAATCGATGATATAACAATGAATAAGACGCCGTAATTAAACGATGTTTTAAGTCAAATACATAATTTTATTGTAAACTTTCCTAATGCTTCTCAATTAACATATCCACATTATGCAACAAACTTTACATAATCGGTCGTATTATTTAATTGATGTTCTATCAGCTATAATGATTTGAATTTCTCTAAGAGTCGGCGGCGACAACGACTTTGTATGTAACAAGGTGTCTTTTCACTTTTTTTCTCGAGCTGTTCAAGACACGCGCTTCTGCCGTTAACTTCGTACTCAGATTATCATTTGGTAGCGACCTAGCGCAGGTCTACACGACTATAGCGTCTCAGTATTTATTCTATTTGCACATTTTATTTTGTTTTATGTTTTAATGCATCCTTTTTTGTTTCTTTGCAACTTTCAGTGTTAAGGTACAGTGCATCATGTTGTGGGCAGCTGATAGCTGATTTTTATGTTATTTGTGTATACGATTATTGTATGTAAAATGCACAGAACTGTATAGTTGTGGAGTGTGCCTCTATGTAGTGCATGTGTTGATATTGCACCAGTAGCGTGGAGACATCATGACTAATTCACAGGTACTGTATTATTTTACTTTGCACTTTTTTATTCGGACATATTTGGAATGATTTTTATGCTGTAGTTAGTTTTTATTATTTTGCAGTAATATTATTTGGGGAACAGATTGCATCTGAGGAATGTTTATGGACAGTAGGGTTTGCTTCTGGTAAGATTTGATAGGATTGAATGCGCATAGTTATAAAACA